CTAATGAGTTGTTGCACCTTAGTGGGAAAACATAATTAATACAAAAGATGGTTAATATTCTGATGGATCTTCTCAGCATACCCTCACTAGAGGCTCTAGGAGAGGGAATTTGCTGCATCAAGTTTAACTACCTTGTTTGGAATAGTAGGGGATTGGCTGACCCTCTCTCCTTTAATAGATTAAAATTTTTGTGCAGGGTTCATAAGTTTCAAATTTTTGCTGCTTCCGAACCTTTAGTAACTACTAATATTGATAAGGTTCTTAGGAAATTTAAACAAGTTCACTTTTATAGGAATTCTATAATTAAAATTTGTTTGTCTTGAAAGAAGAATGTTACTTTAAATTTGACTACTGACGATCCTTAATTTTTGCACACTTATTTTGAAAAAGAGAAATTCAAGGGTTGGGATACTTTTGTATATGCAAGTACTTTACATCATGCAAGGTTAGACCTATGGGAAAAAAAATTATTACTTTGCGTGGTCTTACTTAGGACAGTTAGTTTGTTAGGGAAAATTTTAACATAATTATGAACCATTCAAAAAAGTGTGGAGGTAGAGTGGTTGATCCTTACCTCATTGCAATGTTTTGTGATATGGCTTTGGAGGCAAACCTCTTTGATTTAGGTTTTATTGGCTCTAAATTTACTTGGACGAGGGGTAACTTAAGAGAAAAATTGGATGGATTCTTTGTTAATCAAGAATGTCTGAATACATACAATGTTCTGAAAGTTTATCATCTTAATGAAGCTTGAGCTGATCATAAACAGTTTTTTCTATCTATTGATTTCTTCACTAAATCATATGTTTATCATTTCAAATATCTTAACATTTGTTCTTCTCATCCTTCTTTTCTTGATACTGTTAAAGATGTTTCGAATCCCTCTACCAATTGAGGAAGCCATTGGTTCATCCTTTGGAAATTGCACAAAAGAGTGACTTCTTTCTTAAGGAGATGGAACTGGGAATCCTTTAGTGATGTTCATAAGAAGGTGTTAGAAGCTGATATGAAAGTAAAAGAGCTTGAAGCTAGAGACTTTGCTACTAATAACATTGTTGAAGAACTTACAGTTGCACATAAATCACTTCTTTTTTTCTATCAAGCAAGAAGAGGACTTTCTCCGACAAAAATATAATGTTACTCACTTTGCTAAGGGTGACAAGAAATCTTAAGTATTTTCATGCTACAATCAAGCATAGGAGGAACATAAATACTATCCTAAGAGTGAAAGATGACAATGGGGGGTGGATTTCTGAGCTTAAGAATATTGTAGGTAATGCTTTAGATTTTTTCTCTAAACTCTTTGGTATTGATGTGCAGGTATCTAACACGTTGGATGCGTTATTCAATGATAACAAAGGGTATATGGAAGGTCTCAATCTATGTTATATCCCTTTGGAAGAAGAAATCCTTTGGGCTCTTAAAGACGTCAATTGTAATAAAGTTTCTGGCCTAGATAGTTTCATAGATGATTTTTATTTGAAAAGTTGATATCATCAAGGAAGAGGTAATTAAAGTTATTTAAAGTTTCTTTCTTGGGGAGGATCCTGGTAGCTATTTTATGTTTTCTACCATCAGGCTTGATAATAAAAGTAATGAAAAAAACCACTTAGGACCAATTCAGACCAATTTGTTTAGCTTCAGTTATTTAAAAAATTATCAATAAAATTTTAGTGAAATGGTTACAAACCCATCTTTCTCACATTATATCTCCTCATCAATCTACTTTCACCAAATGTAGGGATATCACTGACAATATTCTCTTAGCCCAAGACATTTTTGAAGATCATGATAAAAAAATCAAAGGGGGGAATATGATTGTGAGATTGGATATTAAAAAGACATATGACATTGCTAGTTGGGATTTCATTATTAACGTTCTAAAAGCTAAAGGTTTCAATACTTTTTTTTGCTTAATTATAAGAAGACGGTTAGAATGTAACAATTAAAGTATCTTGATTAATGTCACTTCTTTTGGTTTCTTCTCTACTAAGAGAAGTAATGATCCACTATCCTCTACTATATTTATTCTGGCATTTGACTACTTTAAACAGGGTGATCCACTGTCCTCTACTATATTTATTCTGGCATTTGACTACTTTTCCAAGTTATTTAACAGGGTAACTACTAATCAAAAAATTGCTTATTTTCACAAAGCTAAAAGGATAGTTAGCCATCTAGCTTATGATGATGATGCAATTGTCTTTTCTAATGCTAGCAAGAGGGTTCTTTCTCTGCTCTATGACACTCTGGGAAAATTGCAAAAGGTCTCTGGTTTGGAATTTAATAAGAAGAAGTGTTGCAATATCTTGGGGAAGAATGTGAAGAAAGATATGACTAGGTGGATTGATGATTTTACTGGTTGTGTAGTCTCTTCTCTCTTTATCAAATACTTGGTGTTCATCTCTCAAGAGGCAGAATGAAACAATCACATATGGATTTTGTTGTTGAGAAAGTGAAAAATTAAATTCTAGATTGGAGGAACAATTTTTTTTTCACTTGGTGATATAATTAATTTGATAGAAGTGTGTTAAATTCCTTACCTCTTTATGATCTGCAAGTTCTCAAATTCAAAGCTAGCACTCATGTTATAATTGAAAAATGTTTTAACAAATTTCTTTGGGCAGGAAACTCTTCTAGCAGGATTTGGGCTACTGGACAAAAGGTATGTATGCCTTTGTTTTCTAGTGGTTTAGGCCTTAAAGAGCTCCATCATATTGCTAATATCAACTTCATTAAGCTATGATTCAAAGTTAAAAGAGGGGTCTCTTTATGGTCTGATTTCATGATGGAAAAGTATTGTTCTTTCTCTTATCCAGCTTCTGTGTCTTGGAAATCTGGGGATTCTAAAATCTGGAAGGCTCTGATTAAGGTAAGGATCAGTGCTGCTAAATATGTTTATTGGGACATTGGGAAAGGAAAAGTGTCCTTTTGAAAGGACCATTGGACTGATTTTGCACTCAATGGCTTGGCTGGTTGGGAGCACATGAGTTGGCATTGGTTTCTGATTTTTGAAAAGAGGGGTCTTGGGATTTTAACCTCTTTAGGGAGGCGGTGGGCCAAATTTTTGATGTTATAGCCAAAATCCCAATAAACTCTGATAAACAGGACTCTTTCTTAATCAAACTTCCAAATCAAATGTCTCTTACTAAATCTCGTTATGTTGATTTATACCACTTTGATAAAGTGGCTTGGTGACTCAACTTGTGGGGCACAGTTTTATTCACTTTTATCAGCTTTTTTTTTTTTTTGTACACATTATCATAAGCTCCTGCCTTATTATGATATTCTGAAAGTAAAAGGGCTGAGAGGTCCTTAACAGTGCTATCTGTGTAGGAAGGAGGAGGAAATATTAAATCACTTATATTTCAAATGTTCTGTCTCTATGCATGTTTGGGTTTTTTTTTGGGATTTTTTCCATAGGAAAATTCCTTTCTTTTGGAGCAATGTGGTGGAATTCTCCTCTTATTGGGTTGATGGGGTCAATAAGAAACATAATTTGGCATATTTCCCATATATAGTTATGTGGTTTGTATGGATGGCTAGGAATGCTTGAAAACTTAAGGGGGAGCGTTTGAAACCTCTTATAGTCATTGCCAATATTCCAGCATACTTACCTAAAATTATTTTCTCAAGATTTCCTTCTTGAAGGGACTCCCTTGTTGTGGTTGATTCTCTTCTTGAGGCTGGAGGTTAGACTATTTTACTAGCTTTATTCTGTGTGGCTAGTGCAATAATATTCTTGTGGAGGATGATTCTATTTCTTTATTGGATTATATTTTGCTTAAAATCCAACGACCTTGGAATATACTATATGTTTTAAACAGGATTTGGGATCAAATAACAAGCCTGAAATTAAAAGATGGAATGGGATGGGGTTTTGTATTTAGAGAAGTTAGCTAGATGGGGTGTTTCCCATTTGGCGGTGGTAATCCCCCCCCTCCCCCGACCTTAAAAGGTTAATTGGAAGTGACTTATTAGATTTATCTTACATCAGGCTGGTATAGGGCTGGTCACAGCTGTGTTAAAAAATTTTCCCTGGTATTTGATTTTTAGTTTCCTGTTGTTTCTTTTCACAGTTGTTGAACGTTAATCTCCTTTATTAGGTTTTTTTACTCTTTTGTTGGTTTATTAGCTCTACTGAGTTTCTGGATTATTTTGGGTTGTTTGGTTGGATTATTATTAAAGGGTATTGTTGATGCCATTTCTTTTATAGCTTTTGGGACATGCTCTTTTGCTGGTGCCCCTCCACCATCTCATCTCAAAAGATTTTCTGAACTCTTGGATGTTTTCTGGATTTTATGCACTATGGTCTTTTGCTGGAATTGCTTCTATCCTATTATGGGCTTTTACCTGGTTACAATGTGCTTATCTGTTCTTCTTTAGGAAGATTGGGTTGTGCTGTTTCATTCAGCTCCTATGTTATTGTTTGGTTCTTTTTGGGCAGCCCCTGTATTGTGCTTTTTGGAAGCTCGGCTCGATTTGTTTCATTCAACCCCTATGTTACTGGTTGGATCTTAATGAATGGTTGGGGTTTCTGCCCAGCAAACCTCCTTTTGGTTTTCTCTATTCTGGTGGCTGCCCCTGTGTTGCTTTTTGTTGCTCTATAACATTCGATGGTTTTCTTTGATTATATTGGATGGATTTTTCTTACTGATTCTAATCACCCTTCTGGAGCTATGTTTTTTATGTGCAGAAAGCTGATATTTGACAGGAATTGGCTTCCCAAATAACAACGAAATAATTTAAAAAAGAAGATTTATATACATAACACTTAATTATCTAACAACTAATTTTTAGTTTTTACATATATTCCACCTTAGTTATGCTGAAAGGTATACTTCAGTTGTACAAATGTAAGAAAAAAATGCTGATACTGGCTAGGCAATATGCATCCCAGGCCATTGACTGACAAAACTAAAAAAGCTTCTTGATTGACACAGTTAATACAGGAATGATTCATAACACCCATGCCTGCACAGGCAGAATTTAAGCAATAATTAAACGGAAGATATTGAAGTGATTAATTCTGGAAAAATTACAGTAGTTATGTGGCTAGTCATGATAGAAGGAATTAATTGGAGCACCAATTATTTGTAAGCGTCGATGACCCGAGAAAAGAGAAGCAAAAACTGGCCGAATAAATACTGAAAACAAGGAAAAACAAAAATACAAGTAGCTGTTTTAAAAGTTTTCTCTTCAGCTGCATAATATAACACTCGCCAAATCTTATTTGCGAAAAAATAAACTCGAGATTCCTTAATGATGTTCATCATCATCACCATGTCCATCTGGAGGTCCCCCTGGGCCAATTACCTCCAACTGAAATGAATTAAGAGAAGAACAGAAATGGACATTAATTAGGAACTCACTCAATAATTGTCATGTACAAATCCCATAATTCTCATGTATTTACATATCTAAGACCAAAATCCATGAATGAAAAAATTGGTAGTAGTGATATTTTTGATGCCAAATGAAGGATTTGAGTGTTCTAAATGTAAAAATCGGAGTTTAGATGATAGATATGTAAATACATAAGAATTGTGGGGTATTGGGGTATGAATTGTGGGGTATGTATGTTAATGCCTCACTGAACGTAACTGGTATTAAAGATTAAAATAATTTCCTGACTTACCACAAAATATTGAGAGCATACAGGGCATTCATGCGGCTTGCCCTTCTCCAACCAGAACCACACAACATCATGCTCATCCTCTGAAAGCAACAAGAAGGAAAAATAATGATAATAATAATTACTAGAATTTAATAATGAAATCCCACTCACTCTGATTTTCCGGGTGAAGCGAAAAAATTTCAATTTTTGTAGCAGTAAATACAATATATATGCAAGCAAATATTTGATTAAAAATTTGCCTGAAAACGAGTTTTCTAGTTGGTACATTTGGCAAAGGAAGAAAAGTGAATGCCCCATAAAAAATAGCACATCTACGTACCTCCTTCACCACCAGGGCAGCCAACTATCCTTTTGTCATAATATGATTGAATCACAGCAGGTGCTTCCTGGACATAGATATCAATAGTCAAATGTTTCGCAGGCTTCAAAAAGAAAAGAAGAGGAAATAAACTAAATTTTATAAGGAGCATTTACATGCATACTACCCAATTCCAATGTTTTTACATAAATAACACCTAAATTTTATTTTTTTTACATTTATACCACCCAAATCTTCAATATTAGATTAAAAATATCACTATTTTGACAAGTCAAACACACCCTTTTATGTATAGGTAAAGTAGCATATTTTGTTAAATTGAAGTATAGGTGCTAGATATGTAAATTGAGGAAGAGAGAGAGGGAGGGAGAAAGGAAAAATATAGGGAGCCAAAGAGGAAGAGAGAGGGAGTGAAGGTGCTAGATATGTAAATACAGAGGAATATAGAAATTGAGTGGTATGTATGTAATCTCCCACTTTATAAATGTAATGTCCCAGCAACAGAAATTGGCATTAATAACTGTTGAATCCTAAATTGTCTTTTCGCAAACACGCCTCGAGAGTTAGATGAGAGAGAAAGAGAGAGTCGAATGAGAGAATATGTTCTGGTCTTCACAAAGTACAGTTGCATAAAAAAGGAGAGAACAATTATTATAACTGCCCGAATAACTGAATCGACGTATCTGTCGAATGAAAATTACATTATAATACAAAGAAAATAAAAAGTATGTCAATCGTCGGTACTTCGAGGTTCGACCATGCCAACTGTCCATATACATCAGGTTTGCTTCCGTCGAGGGTTTCAGTCGGTTAATCAAAGTTGTCGGGTCACTCGGTCAGGGTCACTCAATTGATAATCAACTGGTCGATGATCAGTCTCTTGGGAAGTCTACCTCGCTCTTTGGCACAAGACTTCAGTCTCCTGAAACTCCAACATAGTCACTCGATCCCTTTGATATTCATGTTGTCATTTTTGCCATATGCATATTAGTTTCCCAATTTCTCTATTCCTTGATGGTGACGACTACTATAAGAATAGAAAAATTTTTAAGTAATAAATGACACAGTATACGAGGAAATTAATTCAATAATTAATTCTCCCTTGAATTTCATGCCCGATGAGCCTCATATAAATAGGGCATGAAAACTTGTGTTGTATTCATCTTTTAAGGTTTCTGAAGTTCTTTGAGTGACGTCAAGGCTGACGGTTCAATCAAGAAGAACGTTGACGTTCTTCTAACTCTAGAAGGCTTTCGGCTTCCCGCGCCTACAACAGTCAAGAAGAGAAAAAAGAAAATTGTTAAAAGAACAAGCAGTCGACAACCAAACCTGGTCGATCGATCAAGTCACTTCTTCATAACACCCTAGCAATCAGGCAGTCAGGCACTGAAGAAATCTCTCAACAAAGATGCTTGACAGCCGGTCCAAGCATCGGCGTGAAATCTCTCAAGAAAGATGCTTGACAGCCGGTCCAAGCATCGGCGTGATAGTTGAGAAAAACCCCCAATCTGCCGCATCCATCGAAGGAACAGTGAGTGGCCAAGGGAGTTTGAAAGAATAAGCTATTGTAGATTTTCCTCCACCCCCACTACAAAAAAAGGATAGAAGTCTCCCGGCACAAGGAACTGACAAATTCTCCATTACCCTCCCTGGATTAAACTGATATTTGGGTATGTAAAATTTTTTTTGACCTTGGCACTTTAATAATTCCTTGACAATATCCTTAATGCAGATGAGTAGACCGCATCAAAAAAATTGTACTGATGGTGTGTACCGGTCGATAGACCCATTCAACAACTCCCAACAAGAAAAATTAGAGAGCAGGCAACTTTCATCGGGTTCGATGGAGCGTTGAATGAGAGATATGGTTCGCACTTCAGCGAAGGTGGTCAAGGAGGTTGCTAATGTGCCCATGCGGGGGTTGTTGGCTCGTTGTACGAAGTTGAAGGCAGAGGCTGTTGCGCTTCAATGTGAATTGAGCGATGTACAGGCTGAGTTAAGGCCCATTCGTGAGTCAAAAGTTTTGAATAAATTCCACCAAGACATCGACCGAATGAAGCATACTAGGTTAGGCGGGGAGTTAGTCTTCTGGTGGATGCTTCAACAAGGGAATGCCTCGGCTGAAACGGCGAAGACCCTTTTATTAAGTTTTTCCTTTGAAAACTATAATCATGTCATTTGTAATAAAATAATATTTAATTTAATGTGAAATGATTTTTGGTGTGGTACTTATCTTTTTGAAATGCTTTGACTTCCGTGCCCACCCTATAAATAGAGCATGAGACCGTTACTTTTTTATTTTTTACATTTCACTGCTTCTCTGATTTTCTTTCTCAAATCTCTACATGTGATCTTCCAATGGCTCTGAAGTACTCTGCCATGCTCTTCGATACTGACCTCGCAATTGACTCATTCATTCTGATCGCGCGGACGTTGAGGGAGTTGCAGAAATCATACGTCTTTTACAAGACTATTTTCTACGAAAAATCTGAGAATCTAATTGAATGACGAGCAACTTCAAAGCTGACTTGATTTTCTACAATGATTAGTTCAAGTATGGGTTGTGAGTGCCTCTCTGCTACGAGCTGCGGAGATTTTTTAATTGGCACGTAGTAATCCCGGTGTAGGTCCTCCCAAACTTAATCACTGTTATCATGACCTTAGTGGTCTTTTGCAGCCGGGAGGAAATTCCTTTGGCAGCAGACCTGTTCAATCAGTTATACTCCTTCAAAGTCCACAAGGATGGTTTCGCCATGTTCTCTGCCAGAAAGAAGCTCCAACTGCTTCGAGTTGAGAATAAAGTGAAGGATTGGAAAAAGCAATTTATGCTCGATTCCTATGTCGGCAGCTAAGGTTCCTCACCAAGTCGGCAAATACTTCAGCGGACAAAATCAAACCCTTGTCGAAGGAACTTTGTGTTGTGGGAGCAATGCTGGCTTGGCGTAAGCTGTCGATCCCTCAGTGAAGGACCAGATGACCTGAGATTTGTGGCTTGCTTCCGATGCTGTGGAAGTGTCTTGAGCGGAAGCTGTCTCAAATAAGTTGGTTTTCAAGCAGCAGAAACTAAAGTTCCAACCGTCCAAAGGTAATCTCATAGAAAGTCAGTCCCCTGATGGTGTTGCCCCTGCAACGGCCAACACCAGCGGTGCTAAATGTGTTACTTCCTCATTTAAGACTAGGGTCGTAGTTCAAAACACCGTAACTTGTGAAATTACTATTATTGCTCAATCTCATTCGGTTGATGCAGGGAAAAGTGAATGTAAGAAGTTTGCCTCTAATGAAGAAGCATCATAGGGAGTCGGGACAACAAGCACCTCATTGCTCCAAATCGACCAGTTCAAATCGACTCGCCCAAAATTGATCTGCAACCACTCGCTCCCCTTCCGTTTAGATTCACGGGCAGCTGACTCGCCTTTCATAGCTCTGTTTGAGAGAGCCAGAGCCGCCCTGACCGCATCTCCTTGTCCGGATCCACGTCTGAAGAAGTACAGCCGTCTTCTGGCTAGGATCCCTCGCTGTCTCCCGAGGGACAAGCTCTCCGTCAACAAGGGAGATGAAAGATTTGAACATCCTTCTTCACCCTTCAGTTAGTATGAAAAGGAGTCCTTCAAATGGCTTCCGATGAAGGGGGCGAATAGAAGTTTGAGGGTTGGCACTGACCACCAACTCAATTTAGTTGACTTTGAGGGATAGGTTCCCCTAATTTTGCCAAGACCGAGGAAATCCCATAAGTCCTGGTGAAATTGGGTGCAGTTGGACAACTTCGATCAAGACTTGAAAAGGCTGAGCCGTCAGAAGATTCTGCAGTAGTCAGCCCGTTTTCATTTAATGGTGACACAAGCTGCTCGCCTCCAAGATTTAACTCTGGATGCTATGGAGAACTCTTTGGTCGAAGCACATAATAAAGTTGTTTTACCATAATAAAGTTGTTTCACTGGAAGTTGAGCTTAAGAGGGTGCAAGATGATCAAGATCTCCTTAAGGTCAAGCTTGACAACTTCTCCGCTAAGAGGAAGGAGTCGCTCGAAATGCTGGATGTTTTACTGAAAGAAAACGAATATTTGAAAGCAAAGGTTGCCTTGTCAAGTTCCAACGAAGAAGATACGGATGAACTAGTGAAGCAATTCTAGCACGGCATGGATTATGCGACGGGGAGATTTATAAACCATGGTCTCATCGATACCAAGTTCTTCAATCCTGACTAGTTTCCAACTTTGATTCCTGATAAGGCGAAAGACTCTTCGGAAGAGGAAAAATCCACAAAAGTTCCAGCGGCGATGACTAATCGACAACTCAATGAATCCCGAGCTTTCAAGCTTTTTGTAATTTTGTTTTTAAGTAATTTGTTGAAAACAATTGTAAACAATTTTTGTAATTGCTTGTATATAAAAAAATCATGCGTTTGATTATATTTTTGTATTTATTTTGAATTGTCTGCAGTAGACGTATAGCTCTCGATTGTTTGCTCACCTCAGAAGCAAGCCTATCGTTATTTGTCGATCAACGGAAATTATTTGCTCTCCATCCTAATCGTTCAATCAGATCATTGCCCCTCAGAGAGACTTGTATCCTTGCATCTGGGGTGACCTTTTATATACTATGGATCTTATTGTTAGTGGATATTGAATCACCTCCGGAGCTAAATCACAAACTTAGATGGAGTAATTTTACATTAATCATCTAATAGTTTTTAATATCTATAGATTGACTTTACATCGATTGATTATTAATTTTTAAAATCGATCGATTATTTTTTACTTCGACCGATGATTCAGTTTTAAAATCAATCGATTATTTTGTATTTCGATTTGTCTTGCTTAATAACCCTCATATAATGTTGACCTTGTCTCGTTCGATCGATCGGATCTCCGTCTTAGTCGGGTTTACTCCTTGCACTAAGCACAGATCTTGTCGTTACCTGTAAAGATAACCACCAGAGCTTGTTTATGGGATGATTTACACTATACATTTTCGCGGATCTTGTCGCTAGCAAGCAGAGAACCATCTCCAAAAACTTTATCTTAGCAATTTAGAGACATAGGTATGCACTCAGAGGCAATGTGAATAA